AGAAGTTGTCACGAGGAATGGGATTAAAGCCCGTGAATTGAAAAGTTCTATAGTGGATACCCAACCTAGTTGGTCCTAGGTTCAAATGGGACAACTAAATTATAGAGCGAAGGATGGTCACTGTGGGGGTCCCGGACTCCTACCCACTCCTCGTTGAAACAGTGACTCCCGCACGAGGTTAGCAAAAACGTTTGCTTTAATGATTCTAAAATGTTGATCTACTCGATAACATTGGAAGAGTATGCGGGATACTCGTGAAAGAATCACCTATGTGAGAGAGAAGAGGGCCGCTTCAAAGGAGAACAGTAAAGGCTCAGTTCTTTAGAAACTCTTGCAGAACCAGGACGGTGACCCATGGCCAAAACGGGCACACCCATGAGAACGGAACAAAGTTGGAAGGTTCTTGTGTAAAGATAAGTCAATGTTTACACGACGGCGGTATAGTTCAAAGACATCGAGTCTACTAGACAGCCAGTAAATAAACGTGTCTTTACGGCGGAAGGTTCAAAGGATTAAACCTACCTCTCCGTATACAAGGATCATCCGGTGAACACAACGTGTCCTCCTATCTTCGTGTCTTTTTAAGTCTCGAAAATCAATTTTCATTCATGTGGGGGATTGTTGGAAAAATGTGTGAAAAATTGCATTAAATGGCTATTTTGGGGCAATTTTTTGAGTGGGGTCCACTTCCGATTTGGGTCGGGTCAAAGTGGTTTCGGATTGTCCTTGTTAAGGGCTACAATTCGATATATGGTACGCTCAAAACGGATAACGGGTGAATGAGAAATCGCTTTTTGAAGTTTACCCGTTAGAATGGAAAAACTGGGAAAAAGGATGGGTTTCTAGTGTGTTAATTTCCCACACCGGAAAACCCAAGGGATTTGCTACCCTTTATAAAGGGACTCCCCCCTTATGGAGTTAAGATTCTTAAGGGTAAAGGCTCTCTCCACGCGCGCAGGGGGGGGTGCAAATCAAATCCCGAATTCGGAGAAGAAAAACCGCGACTTGCGTGCGCGGGCGACCTGCGGACACGAATGTCGTCCAAAAATCTATCTCTCAAGAGATACGATTAATTTTTGTTTTCTTCCCGAAACGTATAATTTTTTCCAAGTTGACAGAATTGCTCCGGGCAGAAGGCCACGACCAGAGGTGCTCCGGTTCTGATGACCGCGCATCAGAACTGCTCCAGTTCTGATGGCCTTCGGGCGGAGATGCTCCGGTTCTGATGACCGCGCATCAGAACTGCTCCGGTTCTGATGACCGCGCATCAGAACTGCTCCGGTTCTGATGACCGCGCATCAGAACTGCTCCAGTTCTGATGGCCTTCGGGCAAAACTACGTAGGGGTCTTCTGATGGCTTCTGAACCGTTACAGCAATAAATGCCCAACGTTTATATCTTTTAATGCAGCGTTAAATGGACAGTTCATGGACAATTCAATGCCCAACGGACTGGTCATTGATGTCCAACGTTCAGGTCCATTAATTCACTATTTTCATACAACAAATCCTCCTATATAATGGCTGGCAGGTGGTTTGCAACAACACACGTTCTTACACGAATTCATACACGTTTTGCACCTCAAAAACACACTGCTAGCATTCCGAAAATTTCCGTCTGTGTTCAGTCTTTGTTCTCGTTCGCTGGAACTCTTGTTTGAGTGCTCAAACACTAGTTCGTTGTCATCGTATCCTGGGAAACTATTGTTGCAACGCTCCTAGCACCGTGGGAGGCAACAAATACGTTTTAAGGACATCGTGCGTAGCACGAGCTTTGACAAATTCTGCTCCATCTCTTTTCTTGTTTTTCTTTCGTCATTTTAATTAATTAATTTATTTTAATTAATTTTCTTTATTTTCCGAAACACACCCAACAGTTCTATCCCCAAGATCTTTAGTAGTTAGGATATTCATGCTTTGGAATTCGAGCTGCAACACTATGTTCTTGATGTGATTCATGATACAAAGTTTCAAGTGAATAATGTGAGGAGTTGACTATGAGCAGAAGATCTGATTCATATGTTATAATGAACAGATTGATTCGCCTTGTATTAATCTTACTGTTTCTACTGCAACACTAGAACGATCATTTTTTGCCATGAAACTTCTAAAGACAACACTTGGCAACAAAATGGATCATAACCTTCTTGCTGATTGCATGATACGTTATATTGAAAAACATCTTACTCTTAGTATAGATGTATACTCATTATTGACGAGTTTTTTTGTTTCAAAGTCTCATCGAGAACAAATTTAGGGGAAAACTCTTATATTTTCTTTTTTGCTTATTTTAATTTTTTTATTGTATTATCATTATAAGTATTTCTGCCCACCCCAACAAGAAATCATGGATCCGCCCCTGAGAAGAAGAAAACCGATGCATGAAAAATTGTGTTAGTGTACTAGAATTGAAGATGAGCTCCAAACAATTAAAGAGATACTTCAAATGATGTTTGCTGCTGCATAACCCTTGAAATGAAGTTTGCTGCTACATAACCTGGCCTTGAAATGAAGTTTGGTGCTACAATGAAGTTTGAGCATTGTTCAAATTTGACATTTTTTGTATACTATTTTGAGATACACTTTGTATGTAGCTTAGATATAACAGATATGATGATTATCAAATTGATGCCTAGCTACGTTGTTTTGAATTGTACTACAAATTGTGAATTTTGTTGAATCATTCTATTAATCGTTTCGGACATCATACATTTTTTTTATCATCGATCATCATACATTATTATATACTCTGTAATATATATTAGGTTTTCATCAATTAATTAAAAGAATAAAAAATTATATTCATTGTATAATCGCTTCTTGGACTGTAATTTAGCGAAGGGAAAGTACTAAAGTAGCCGCAATTACGCGGTCCCAATAATATCTGGTCTCAAATAATATCATTAGCGACATGATCTTAAGCGGTCCCAATAGGTTTTAGCGACTGACCATTTTTCCCGGTCGCAAAAAAGCTTTAGTGGCGAGGCCTATAGAGAAACTGTCTAGCGACCGGATTGCAGTCGCAAAACAGTATTAGCGACTTTTTATTAGTTTTTGCGATCAATAAAATCCCATAAATTTTAGTTTTAAAGGATTTAGTTTTATAGTTTTTAGTTTTAGGATGTTTTTACTTGGACTGTAATTTGCTGGTCTGGTCTGGTCTGGTCTTATCTGGTCTGGTCTGGTCTGGTCTGGTAAGGTCTGGTTTCTTTGTATTTTTATAACTATCCAAGTCTAGTCTGGTCTGGTCTGGTCTGGTGTGAACTGGTCTGGTCTGGGACAAATTATAGTCCAAGTAAAAACATCCTTATAGGAGTCAAAATTTTCCTATAAAATCCTTTTAATTACTTTCCATCTTTAGCCATTATTGAAAATAGAGAAGCAATTCTTGATATACGCTATTTTTGTACACTCGTTATACAATTGTTTGTGTACGTACATAAACAACTCATGTACACTACATAGAGAGAATAAAATAACTTAAAAAGTTGAATAGGCCGATTTTTCTGTGGGGGAGCATGTGTCTAGACTGAAACCGTCAAACCGAGGAAGAAAAGGTTAGTAATTTTACTGTTGAAATTCGTCCTAAATTCTATTCGAACCTGGTCATGTCTCGCCAAAAAGAAAGACGTGACAATTCCACGTTAATTTACTCCACTAGGCTACTTATTTTAGGTGAAAAAAATAGATTATATTCTCCATCAAAACCGACCAAAGATTCCAGTGGCCGACTACCTATTGTAACTTTGATCAAATAAATAAATAAATAAATCACGCCACAGAAAGATTAAGGGAGGTGTTTTCATTACAGAAAGTGTTTATTCTGTTTTAGTTTTAGAAGAAAAAATGTTTCCAAACAATTGATAACGCTAATCAGGTGGATCAGATATGAACTTTTATAATATTTTCACCTTTTCTATTTTATGAAAAGTACATAGTGTTTTGTGAGACACTTTAAACTTTATTTTTTTCACTCATTTTCAGATAGAGAGATGAGCTTGTTTGATAAACTAGCTAGCATATGTAAAAAATAATGAGTCAAAAGAATCCTTCACAATATAAGGCTATGTATAAAAAAAGAGTCCATGTAAACAATGTCATGGACCAGAACTAATCTAACAAACTAGGCCCCCGATTTGGATATCTCCCGTCCACGATAGTATATAATCAATGTTTTTATTTGGATAATTTTAAGTCTCAGACCAAATAAGATCATATTAAATGAAATCATACTAGATCATACGGAGTATTATATCAAGAAAACAAGAGTCCAATTAAAAGTATCCTTAATGACAATCTAAGCACATTCCCCCGATTAAAATAGTACGTACTCCGTATAATTTTGGCCGCAATAAAAACACAATCTTGCTTCAAGAGAAATTTCACCCCCATTACATAATTAACTATTATTTACACTCCGTATACATTTACCATTTACTTAAATTATTCATTGATCAATCTTTATTATGCTTCTTACATAATACTAACACCTTTTATGCACTTTCTCTAAAATGATTAAAAAAATGTTTTTTTTTTACATACAAGCAATCACAAACTCTTTTAATGGATCATTTGATATTGTATCAGTAGATGGAACCTGCAGCCTTCTTTTAAGAGATCAAAATCAGGACGATTATATATTTATAGAAAAGATCAGGTCCCTCCGGAGGGACGGGAGGGACCGTCCGGCCAAGGCCATCAGAGGCCCTTCCTGGTGGAATTTTTTGATGAAATTTTTTGAGCATATTCTTCATCAAGTCTAGTTTATCCATACCAAATTCCAACTAAAGATTCAACCGAGAAGGCACTCAAATGATTTTTGGAAGATAACTGCGTTTTATATGTATATAAACTGCGCAGTTAACTTCCAAAAATCATTTGACTGTCTTCCCGATTTAAGTTTTAGCTGAAATTTGGTATGGATAAACTAGACTTCATGAAGAACATGCTCAAAAAATTTCATCAAAAAATTCCACCAGGAAGGACCTCAAATAGTGACGGCCGGACGGCGGGTCCTGTCCCTCCGGCTGGACAGGATCAGGCCTCTATATATTTATATGCAAAAGAAGACAACATCACATACACTAATAGTCATATCAGCACAAAAATATAACTTGGCATATCTATAACTACAAATCCATGATTTTTCCATCAGGCCATTTTCAACTTGGCACATTGATCAAATATACACTCTTATCTCTTTAAATATAAAAATTGTACAAAACCCACCATTAATTAATGTATAGGGATAAAGCACAAATTGGATACTATGGTTTCATCATAATCTCATATTGGACACTAAGGTTTCAAATGGACCAAATTAGACACTATGGTTTCATATGTATCTCATGTTGAACACTAAAGTTTCATAAGTGAGTCTTTGCACACTCACTTATATTGAATTATGAAAATTTAGTGTCTAATATGAGATTCTGATAAAACCATAATGTCCAATTTGAACCTTATCCGATCCGTTAATGTATACTAGTAGCAATTAGGCCAGTCCTCTTGAAGATATGATGAACCCCAATTTCTGGTATCAAAACTCTAGCTGATCTTGTTTATCATCTACAAGCTGATCACTTGATCAGCTCCAAAACTGGTACATATCATCTTCAATTGTCTCGAGAAGTGGAGGCCGGAGCTGCCGTTGCGGTCGCCGGCGCCGGCGACGGAGATGGATCGATTAAGACAACGTTAGCGCGACATATCGGGCAACTGGGTTGAGATTTCAGCCACGTGTCAATACATAGGAGGTGGAAGACATGGCTGCACTTAGGCAGCAACCTAAGATTCTCGTCTTCCACAAACTCCGCCAAGCAAACAGAGCACTCTGTGTCCTGGACTTGGACACCTCCTCCGTCTCCGCCGCCGACGCCGCCGCAGGGTTTCTTGTACTTGAAAACCTTTATGTTCTTCTTAACAATTTCCGCCGCATCTTCCGCCGGAACGGCCACCGGCGGGGTTTCCTCGCGATTTGCTTCCAAATCTCGCTGCCGCCGCCGTCTTCTTCTGGTGTAGTTGGTGCAGACGGTGTAGAAGGTGACGAAGAACAGAGCACTTGCCAGAATGGTGATGATGACTATGATGAGGGGGGAGAAATTGGGGCCGGAATCGTCATCGGACGGTGGCGGAGGAAGGAGGTTGATGCACCATTGAAGACAATTTTTGGTGCAGATCATTTCTGAACAACCGCCATGGCCGCCGCTGCTATCGTACACATATGGTGGCAGAGGTTTGGGAAGCCCAACAGAACCCATATCCAAGCTTATCCAAGCTTTCTTATGTATACTATGTTTCCTAAATCAAACTCCAATTATTGTATCGGAGCTGCGGACAAAACGAAAACAAAAAGAAAGAGCGAAAGGAAAAAGAAAGAGACAAGAAGAAATGGGACGAGATCTGTAAATCTTGGAGGGGGGGGGGGGGGTATAGGTAGGGAACGATGCAAAAAGAAGCAAAGCAGAGATGTGAGCAAAGTAGAGGAAGTGGTTGAAGTGTCATTTTTTGCCAAAAAGAAAAATTGTTGCGTTGGCTGTTGATTATTAGAGAAAAAAGGATGACACCCCATCCCTGAGGGCTCCCCAACACCGACCGGACAGCACGATGGGAGGATGTAAATTGGACTATAATCACAATCTGACAGATAGAGAGTGGGGCTCTGTCCCCGGTACTTGCAGAGGCCCTATGCATTTTTCAGCATAGTAACCCCTCATCGCAGTTACCGGGATTCGAACCCGAGACCTAACCCTTGTGGCACTCCCTTGCTACCAGTTGAGCTACGCCCACCAGTGAAAAATTTTTATATGTAAAATTTAATGTCACTTTCCTTTTAATCAATTGGCTGTTGATTATTAGAGAATAGCATATCAAGAGGGTGATGTATATTAATGCAAGATTCCATATTTTAAAAGGTCAATTTAATAACTTAGAGAATATAGAGCCTGTTTGACAACACTTTTTTTTTCGGCATACGAGGGTTATCAGTTAATCTTTTCACCAAACACGTAACTTTTACTCTCACGTGCTGAATTGTGTAATAAGCGGAAAAAGTAAGGTTAGAGTTACTTTTACGGTGTATCGCAAAGAGGGTTAAATTTGTGGTATAATTTTGTCACACATTTCACGGTAGAGTATACCATTTTGACACTGTTTTGTATTGTTTTATACGGAGTATTGTTTTGATATAGATATGTTTAGCAAATAATCTAGCCATCCAATGTAAATAGAAATCATTTAAGCTCAAATATGTACAATATGCATCATGGCCCTGTTGGTATTTCAGCATTTTGGGGGTGAAACGCCTTTAGACAAACATGAAAGATCCCCATTGTGTGTGTATAAGAATGTTATGTTTTGGACCATTTTCAATCACAGACCAGATCAGAATTAAACAAATTAGTCTAGACCAGATCGGACTTAAACAGATCAGGCCATACAAGACTTTCATAGTTATAAAATACACGGAGACCAGACATTTACCAGATCTGACCAGACTAGAACAGACAAGACTTTCATAGTTATAAAATACATAAAGATTAGACATTTACCAGACCAGACCAGACCAGATCAGACCAGCGAATTTCATTCCAAAAGAAAACATCCTAAGTGTTGGGTGGGGTTGGGGGCAGCTGCCTGGCCCACTTTGTGCGGACGAGACGTTTCACCTGAATTCCATGGTCCGGTCTATATAACGGGTCCAGTCATCCAAGTCCTCTGCCAGTCTTCCTTGCTTTGGCAGGCAAGGAGGGTGCGTGGCCATTTGTAGCCATCAGATCTAAAAAGCAATGGTATAAGATCAGTATGTGGGTCCATTTTTGACACAAATCTTGAAGCCTGAATTTTAATCCCTGCCCTTCATTTAAGTAAGGTGCCGTGTTCGGCGGGTCATAGAACTCCGCCTTGACGGGCTCTGCTGACACACCGAAAGAGTTCAAGCCCCTTTGTTATTAAAAGTTTAAAACCACTACTCCGTGTTATGTTCAATTGAAATGAATAAGTAAAATTAAATTGTTAAAAAGTGAATTTACACTACGTAATTGAATAACTTTAATATCTTAGATTCTTAGGAATCTTAAACATAATAGTACACAGTTTTATACGTCTTTTGCATAAATCATACGGAGTAAACATATTCATGTTCAATTCATTATGATCTGATCTCTTTTGCTAAAAACAATATGTTAAAATTGTGGTTGATGTTACTAATCGTTTATTCAACAAAAAGCTAGCTACTAAAAGGCAAATATATATTAAAACTGGATCATGGCAGACTGTTGAACTATTTATCACACATTGGATTGCTATAAATCATAAACGTTATATTAAGATTCTAAACTAATAATCCTCTCATGATGTTAACACAAATATAATATTTTAAACAAAAATAGGAAAAGGTGAATATATTTACATCAACCAAAACTAGATGAAGCTGAAATATATAGTCAAACTAGTACCACACCCCGATTGAATAAGTAGTTGATATCCTGCATGTGTGGATGGCATCACTCAAACATTCATCACGGATTCACGGGGCTCCCATTATTACCAAACAATAAAAGGGACTGTTATCAGTTCTATGATACTATCGTATATAATTCTATATGATTTTCGATTTTAATTAAAACCATTTTAGATATATCAGTCAACAACTTAACTTTATTTACCATATTAGTTGATTTTAGAAGTATGATATATAGTGATTATACATTATAATATGTTTGATAAGGATTATTATGAAACAAATTTTAAGTATTTATCTAAAACCGATCACAAATTATATAATACGTAGTATATGACAATATTGGGTTCAATCTTCAAATATGAATCCTCTTATTCTTCACTTGCAATTTGAAATAAATATAATTAAAGAATTTAATTTGAAACTAAATCTTTAATCCTTCAAATTCGAACGTTCTTCAGATCTTCAAGTCTGTGTTCTTGAGATCTTCGAATCTTTGTTTCTTGACAAAGGATTATTCGTATAATTTTAATAAAATATGTGGCTTGATTTCTTCTCCTTCTTTGGAATTCTTCAGAGCCTATCAAAAATTCTTAAAAGCTTCTCTGCAACGTTTCTTCGTCTAGGAATTCTCTCCTCCATTCCTCTCATATGAGACTCCTATTTATAGGAATTATATATAGGTGTTGCGGGGATGATATATGCATTAGGGTTGCAAAAACAATAGGCCCTAATACGGTACCCTCAAAGGAATCAAATATTTAATTTGTGTGAAGACACACATTCCCAGGTTCGTATCTAGGGAGGGGGAAGGGAGGGTAGTTTCCCCCTCTCAACCCCCACTCAATCCCTATATATACTCAATTCAAATTATACATATATATGTTTTTTTTTGGCAATAACATAAATTATATTAATGAAAAATCAAATAGGAGTACAAGGAGAATGCAAAGAAAAAAGAGAAGAGGACAAATAGAAAAAGGAAACAAAAAAGAGGAAAAAGAAAAAATAAAATAAGAAAACAACCTGAGGAACAAATAGCAAAACCCCCCTACTAAATCAAAAAATTAAAAAATTGCCCGTGATTGGGATCTTGTTCTCATAAGATGAGATCACTAGTGCATTTTTCTATACATTTTCACTTGAGTGTTAAATATAGAGTTTAGAAAATAAGTACGAGCATTGTGCATAAAAAGCATCAAGGGGTCAAAGCTAGCTTTGGTCTAGTTCTTGTAATTTGTTTCTGCTTTAGCCATTTTGAAGGCTTAAATAATTTCAATGTACCTTTACATAATTGTTTTTACTTTTTCTTGTTGAAAAGATCTAAACTACATCAATATCATTACAATTTTAGTTTCACATATGGTTCATAATCTTTGACAATCACAGTTTTGTACATAATATGAACGGGTTTTTTAATACAGTTGTGAATTTGCGATTTAAATTAATTCTAAGCAGGGCCGGCCCTGAGGGTGTTCAACAGGAGCCACCGCACAGGGCCCCATGTGATGAAGGGCCTCCAAATATTGGGTCTTTAGGGAAAATAATACTATCGTAATAATTTAATTGATTCGCACTAGTATGTTTGAAGCTGCCTTTGAGAATTGGAAGAAAACGATAAATTCAATACGGGTTATGCCCTTTGAATTCTTTATTTTATCCATTTAGACATAAGTGGTTCTAGAAATCTGGAAACTTTTTTCAAATAAATGGAAATAATTTTATAGATAGATATTTTTTAAGCAAAATCTTGTTTAAATTCAAAATATATTACTAAGTATTTGACTTTGATACTTTTGATTATCTTTTTATAAATGTATTTGTATTTTAGTTTTACATGTATTTAATTTTTATATATTATATACTCTATAGTTTAGGGCTCCTATTTGATTTTGAACAGGGCCTTTATCCCATCAGGACCAGTGTTCGGCTGGAGATGTTTAGCCGAATAATTAAAGATGCTAAAGTGAGCCCTTGGCCCGTTAACTTAAATAATTAAAACTAATTTAAATAAATACACAAAGCCCGATAACACCCCCCCTCAAGTTGGAGCATGGGGATTGAAGATGCCCAACTTGCTAAGTAAATAGAGAAACTGTCGATGTCCAAGGGCCTTGGTAAAGATGTCTGCCAATTGATCCGTAGTGGAAACGTGAGAAGTCGTGAGAAAACCATCCTGAATAGCGTCACGGACATAGTGACAGTCAACCTCAATATGCTTAGTGCGTTCATGAAATACAGGGTTCTGAGCAATATGAAGCGCAGAGCGGTTATCACAGAATAAAGAGACAGGACGCGGGTGGGTAACACTGAGGGAGAGAAGAAGACCTTTGAGCCATTTGAGCTCAGCAGTAACCGCGGCCATGGACCTGTATTCGGATTCGGTAGAGGACCTAGAGACCGTATGTTGCTTCTTTGTTTTCCACGAGACAGGAGAACTTCCAAGAAAAATTACCCAACCACTAAGAGATCGGCGGGAAAGAGGACAACTAGCCCAATCCGAATCACACCAGGCCGAGAGTTGCAAGTCAGATAAGGAGCAAAGAAGAATGCCTTGACCAGGTGCCCCTTTAAGATATCGTACAACACGCAGAGCTGCATGCCAATGGTCCTGTCGGGGAGCCTGCATGAACTGAGACAAAATGTGAACGGCATATCCCAAGTCCGGGCGAGTAAAAGATAAGTAGATAAGCCTCCCCACGAGTCGGCGTTAGGATTCGGGGTTGGCAAGTAACTCGCCAGTAGCAAGAGCTAAATTATGATTCTGCTCCATTGGACATGGGGCGGGTTTAGCACCAAGTAGACCTGCTTCAGAAATAATGTCAAGTGTATATTTTCTCTGACAAAGAAACAAACCGTCGCTACTGTGAGCTACTTCTATACCCAGGAAATATTTAAGAGGACCCAAATCCTTCATATGAAAACAATTGTGCAAATATTGCTTAAAGGCACGCAATGCATCAGAATCATTCCCTGCAAGTATAAGGTCATCAACATAAACTAAAATATGCATACGCACGGCTCCCTGACTATAAACGAACAGAGAGTAATCAACCTTGGATTGACAGAAACCATAATCACGCAAAGCTGCGGCCAGCTTTGCAAACCAGCATCTGGGTGCCTGACGCAATCCATATAAGGATTTTTTCAAACGGCATACTGTGGACGGCCGTGAGGGATAAAATCCAGGTGGTGGTTTGATGTACACTTCCTCGCCTAAGTCACCGTGAAGAAAGGCATTGTGCACATCCATTTGATGTAACTCTCAATTCTTAGCGGCAGTGACAGCTAAAAACATGCGAACAGTCACCATTTTCGCAACAGGAGCAAAAGTCTCAGTATAATCAATACCTGCACGTTGATGGTTGCCAAGTACCACCAACTGGGCTTTGAACCGCTCCACGGTGCCATCGGAGTTATATTTGATCTTATAGACCCATTTGCAACCGAGTGCCCGTTTGCCCGGAGGAAGATGTACCACGTCCCATGT